ACCTGTTGGACACCGCTATAAACCTGTAAAGGATCCCTGTAGCTGTGTCATTGTTATAGTACTGCTGTTAAGAAGGCTACGGTACTGTAACACTACTATAACTATACCAGATTCTCTATAAGTTTTGCTTGTAAATCTACCTTCACCTTAAAATATTATTTTTAAATAATTATATTCAATAATCTATAATAATAACAAAAAATAAAATCTAATTACCATCTAATGATACTTTTGCTGCATTAAGAATCTCTCTAATAGTCATATTATTACTAGTATTATTCTGTTTTTTTTATCTATTAATACAGTATTTCAATATCAAATTATAAAATAATACTAAATATCCTTACTCATACCACTTTCACGTTTAAAATACTTAAAACCTTTTTTGTCACGATAAATAAGCGAACTATCTATCTCCTGATTACAAAACACCAAATTTTGATTATTTATTCTTGCAGAATGTTCTATCATTATCTATTTAATTTAAATAATGATTAAAATACTTAACATTTAATCCATAACTATACTGTATATAATACATTACCATATAATTTTCAATATCTTCAATATAAGAATCTAATATTAAACTTGTAGTTGGTCTATTTGGACTAGTAGAATTAAAAAAATATGTATCGTTCGGTGAACTAATATTAAAAAAACTATTATATCCAACTGGTAATAAATAATTCATCATGCTTACAAATGTAGTAAAAAAAGCAGCACTTCATGAAATAACCGGATATAACACTAAAAAAAATTATTAAAAAAAATGATTAATATATATCGATATTAATAAATAAAAATTCTTTTACCTTCATTAGCACTTCAAAAAATACACGATTTATTAAAATAACAATTTGAAATATTAAAATTTGACGGTTGTTATAACTTTACTCTAACAGCTCCAGGAATAATTTTTTACTAAATAAATATAATATAAATATAAATCTGCTAAATCGATAAATTTCTATTTAACTAACTATTTTTTACCTTTTTTAAAAATCCATTATCTTTAATTATAATATAAAAAACCATAGAAAAAACTATTATATTTTTAAGATCTTTTTTACTAAAAATATTCCTAAAATTTTTTTATTACAAAAAAAAATTATTAAAAAAATATGGTATTATCAATTTTTTTTACTATTTCAACTTACTCATTGAAAAAATCACACAAATCTTTAACTTTTAAATATTCAAAAATATCTATCATTAAAATTTAATTGCTGTAAAGATAAAAACATTATCTTATATATTTTTTTAATAAATTTGAACGTATTAATAATAATATTTTACGCATAATAATAATAATAAACCTGTTGATTCACTATCATCGACACATTGATCATTGCTTTCGAAAAATTGTAAATCAAATCAAAAATCAAACCTTATTCTCTTAAAAAAATAAAGCTTTAACTCCCAATTCATTAATAATCTCACCAAGAAATTCTAAATACATTTTGACTAACTTATAAAAACTCATAGCCACCAATAAAGATCTATTACCAATTACAAAATAAAATTTTATTTAAAAAAATAAACAAAATATATATTTGTAGTTTTACAAACTTATCAAAATAAAAGTAATCACAAATTCTAGAAATAATTTTTAATCATTATAACAAGCCACTATACATTTCATTCTCAGCCTCTCTGGTGATTTTGGCCAAATGTTCTTGTCACCATTGATCTTCTATCTGCAAAGCTTTCTCATGTTGATCCATCAAGTGCAATTCATGCTCAGGACTATTATTAAACAATCGCTCGTTATATTTACTAGTGAGTTTAGCTCAACGTTCAGATCGTACTAGCAATCATCTTCAAGTAGATTAGTTACATCAGAAACAACTCTCAGTCTCATGATTTTTGAGATAATTAGAATTCTGTAGATCATAAGATGCAGGTAATTTTTTAGGACCATGAAAAATGACCCTAGCGTCGCTCGCAAAAAACGGTAGCCAGACAGATTTGCCAGATACATGTTATTATGTAATTCAGATTTAATTATGGACACAATTTAATTTCGATTACTAACCAGAAAATGTCTTTAGCGTATTTATGAATTGTTATCAAGCAATAAATATGGTCTTGAAGTTTTTTAAAAGAATTTTGTTAATGAATAACATGAATCACTTAAAATTTTATTGTTTATACATTTTTTTTTGGTTATATTTATAGCAAATTCGATTTTTTACAGGCATTTGTTTTTATTTTTATGTTGAACCAATAAGTTAATAATGAGAAGCTTGTTAATAATGAGAAGCTTGTTAATAATGAGAAGCTTGTTAACAAAGTGACAAAGCGATCATTATTGCGAGATCAGATAACTTTATAGTAGATCATATGCAACATTTGTATGTGTATCCCTTATAGAGTAAGCATGTTTTATGCCTTGTACGTACCTTGTTGGATTCAAGTATTTTTGAGAGTAATGCCAGGATAATATATGAATATTCAAAATTAGTTATCCATGAATTGAGATTAAGCAGTAATTATAGTTTGTAAGCTAAAGAAAAGATAATGGAGTTTACATGTGAATTACGTGTAGGCTAGGGAGAGTTGATAATCAGTTTAGAGATAATGCATTTAAGTATTGTTTTTTCGAGTAGATGTCTTTATCTTTCTGTTCGCTATTGCTCGCCCAGTAGTTAGGGCTGGTTTCGTTACCCTCCCAACCCACCCGGTTTAAGACACAAATTTTTTAAACTCCTCAGTTGTAGAAGCAATGCAAGGACTTATTCTAACAGGCTACACGGCTGCAGGGTAGTGCAAGGACCTTGTAATATGAATGTAAATCTTAAGGTTCTTAGGAAATAGATAAGCTATTAGGCTCCAAGGCTGCAATAGCAGTGCAAGGACCTTGTTTTAGGCTCCAAAGCTGCATTTGCAGTGTAAGGACCTTATGCTATTTAATATTTCAGCTCTATAGCTGCATTTGCAGTACAAGAACCATTTTTACGTTAATTTTCTCTATAGAGGTTAATATGCCATCACACACCTCACCATGATCGATTCTCGTTATAGCTATGAAAATTCACAGAGAAACTCCTGAGTTTAGAGTTCTATTTTATTGCAACTAAATATGTAATTTAGTATAGTTTAGGTTTATTATAGCGAACCTATTC